GCCAATGAACACCAACATTTCAGATGTCCACCAGATACCACAGTCACACTGCTTATCCCAGGACCATCAGCTATGTAGAGACCTAGAGACCATCCTTTGCCATTGGCAGATTTGTAAAGTAGCCTATACCATCTTAATAAGCAATAATGATTCTGGACACTGACCATTCATTCTGAGGGAGGTATTACCTTAAAAATGATTAGGATGATGTTTGGCAAATTGTTATTTGATTTGAGCTAAGATTACTTCATGGTGTTACCTCATTTAAATATGAGTTATGAAATAGAGTCTATCGGCTAGTTTCAGTAATTTTCAAATTTGTCTTTTTTGACTTCCCTACCTTACTTAAGTGACTGAAAAGAGTGAATCACTTTATAACATGTTATAACATAGGCATTTTCACCAAAATATGACTGACAGATCTACTTATCTATATCAGATGAGCAGAGAAAAAGCTTAAAATCAGAGAAGAAGACATGGTCAGCACATACTTTTGCTTGGAATAGATGTGGTTTAAGGAGGACATGCCAGAATCCTGCAGTTTCAGTTGCTTGCTATTCTTTTATCCTATTCAAGGCAAAGCCAGAGGAACAGGATTAGATAGATCTTGAAATGTCACCCCAATATAAAAAAAAAAAAAAACTGTATTGCCAGCCACAAAAGCCTTTTATATAGCTGAGATTCATGTTTTGTTTTGCTGACCCACTTGACCTAGCTTATCTATTTCAGAGCAGGCTGGATGGCTTCCCTGATATTTTATAAAAATTCTTTATATCCAGAAAACTTGAAATCATTGTATGGTAGAGACACATATACCCGCCATCTTGAATGTTAGATCTTTTATTGTGTTCCATTTGCCTTCCCACCTCTCTGTGCATGTATCCACCCATCAGCCCATTTCAGTTGTTGCTGTCACTACTATTCTCCTCTCACCACTAATATTCACCTCTGCATGCCTTTTGTTAACTAGAATTCAGTGCATCATGGTTCTTCCTTAGGATAAAATTCATAAATACGAAAAGCTTAGTTTGATTCAGTAAGTAGTGACACATACATAGCTCACTGGCCACAGTGCTGCCAAGATATGGAACATTTTCATTACCCCAGAACATTCCCTCACATCCCTACTGAGTACATCCTGGCACCGATACCATTTTGGAGACAACTATCCTCTGATTTTTTCCACTATAGACTATCTCTGCGTTTTATAAATTTTATGACAAAGGAATCATACAGTGGATACTCGCTCAGTTTTTGAGATTCCTAATGTTTAATGCCTAAATTCATTTTGTTTTTATTGCTGAATAGTATTCCTTTATATAAATACATCGTAATTTTGTTGTTCCCTTTCCAGTGAACTCTCTTTTGTTTTTTGCCATTATGAATAAAGATGCTATAAATATTCTTGTATACAAAGTGTTTTTGACTTATGAATCAATGCCTAAGACTGGAACTTCTGGATTCTCAGTGCATGTTTTGTCATATAAGAAAGTACCTGGTCTTTTCCACAAAGTGGTTGTTCCATTTTTCAGTCACACTGCGAATATATTCTCTATATCCTCAACAGGCTTTTTAATTTTATACTGTCAGTGGGGAGACTGGAAAGAGAGTGCAGCAGAGGGCTGGGTGGCACTGGCGGGAGCTTCACCATGGGTCCCATCAGCTCCTACCTATTGGTGTAAAGCCCACCCAAGCTGTTTCCCCTGAGCATTTCACCTCAGAAGCCAGCTGGGGGTAGGATTTATATCTTGGTGGCTTATTTCTTATAAGACCCTAAGAGGGCAAGAACTTCATCTAGCGTGTGTCTAACACCTCTATCTTGCTTAGGAAGAAAAGCTTAAAATACCAAAATGACCATCTGACTGGATCAAGTAGGCAAGTTCAAAGTCATCTTTTATTTCAGGAAATATTCCTAGGCAAAAGATTGTCACTCTTAAACCTCAGCCTTTGTCTCTGTTTCTGGCAAGATGCAAAACCCTTAACAATAGACAACAAAAGTTTCCAGTAGTCAGGTTCAACCTGTTCTCCTTTGTGCATTTCCTTCTTAAACATCATTCTTTCCACGATCGTAACCCTAGGTCAATGTCCCTGCTCTAAGTCTCAGCCGAGAGCCTGAAATGCAGTACTTTGTGACCCGTGCTCACATTAGCTTCCTAGGATCCCCGTCACTCCTTCACAGACAGCCCCCCTGGCTTGGCTCTGACACAGAACCCTGGCTGCACTCCCCTCACCTCCCTCGGGAACAGCACGCTTGGCATTGCTCCCACCACCGCTCCCCACTCATGGACCCATTCATCTCCCGGCTCTCCTCCTCTTTCTGTGTCTCCCCCTTTCTTTCAGTGCTGCTCAGTTACCTCATAAAATTCTTATTCTCTTCCATATGGGAACTAAAAATGTCTCCTGAGCTTGCCTGATAACTGTCAAAGCAGTGTTAGTACGATAACGAGGCAAGACATAATGAAGAACCGATGCCACCAACAACTACAGCTCTTGAAAGTACCAAGAGGTCCCTTTCAGGAGCACGACAAAGGAACTTTCTACTTTCTCCTCCCCTCCTAATTAAACTGGCTTTTCCTCAAGTACCACCATTTTGAACACACAAAAAAACTTTTGTCTTCAGTACCAGATTTCTGTTTTAATTAATATCTTCACAACAGAATTGTTTTCTAATACTTTGGTTGCAGAGATACACTGTGTCGATTATGTTGTAGGTTAAATTGCAACACTCTGTCTATGACAAATCATGTACTAAATGCCACACTGACTTAAACTCCTGGAATCAAATCAACGTCTAAATTAGGACTTGCTTTTTTCTCCTGCACAGCTTTAAATATTTGCTACAAGAATTTTCTTTCGTATAGCAATTTAGGAAGGTACAATAATACTGCCTTCAGCATCACACTTTTAAGTGTAATAGCCCTTCCTATAAAGCATATATTGTTATCACCCTCCCCCCATTTTACAGATGAGGAAACAGATTCAGAACGGTTCAGTAACTCACAGCTTAGTAAATAACAGAGTCTAAATTCACATTGGGTTTATCAGCCTCTGCTTGATTCAATGCTCTGTACTGGCTGCTGCTACCCAGAACCCAAAGTAAAGCTTCGTACCTTGGCCTGAACAGATCATGTCTGTGTGACACTCCCCTCCAGCTCCATTAGGCTTTGTATCTCCAGCGTGCTCCTAAAAACTTTGTTCAGATCTTACCAGATCTCAGAAGGGCAGGGAAAGAGATTGGCAAAAGCTCAAGAAGAGCAGTAAATCCTGATCTTTAGTAAATTCAGAGCTATTGTGGAAAACAAAGCTGTATGTAACTAAGAGATTCTAGCTGTGCAATTGATAATCAGCATCTATTATACATTCTAAATAGCTCTCACCTGGCTCTGAGTGTCGACACAAAATGTGGGTCATGCATCTGGTCGCTTCTGCCACCCAAAGGTTTCCCTTACTAATGTGCTCTAATGGCTGTCATACAGCTCAACTAATGAGATACCCACTTACAACAGATGCTCTGTGCTTTGCAGTCTGATGCACTGTGAGGATCAAAAAAGGATGAGAGCCCCGATTCAACAGCAGGAACTGATCCTTTTCTATTTGCTCACCTGGCTCTTCCCTGGCTGTTGCCTTGGGAGGGCAGAGCCCATTGACTCTTTCAACTTACAGCATGAGTTGATTTTGTCCTCCTTTTAATAAGACTTAGTGCCTGTGGCCAGCAGGCCCCTCACCCTTCACTGTACGCACTTTCTAGTGTATTTTTCCTCTACATGAAAGGCTAGAGAGTCAACATTATTCAGACTCTCTTGCAGCTAGCATTCTATACACAAATTGGTTTTCTAAGATTAAAAGCACAGTGGTACTTCAGTTCACAAACACCTTTGGTTGCAAACAATTTGGTTCACAAACAGAAGCATCTGGCAAAATTTTATTTTTGTTTGAGAACTCTCCACCAAGTGACAAACAAGACCTTAGCCATCTTTCCTGCATGAACATGAATGTGGCCATCTTTTTCAGAACTGTAGGATGAATTAAGTTCATGAACTGAGGTACCATTGTATCTGCATAAGGTCCAGAGGCAGATATGAGACAGAAACCATTTCCCTAGCCCATTCAAGCTTCCTCTGATGACAGGTAAGATCATTATAAAGTAGACTAATTTTTAACAGCACATTCCAATGTTCAGCTCCAGTTGCCCAAGTTGAAAGGCTGTTGAGGGAATTAGTGACAGTAACTGAGTCTGGTTTGCTAAACCCTGGAGTATAGCCATGGGGTATGTCAAGACCCCTTCTTTCTAGTGGTGACCTCAGAAATGGCCACTTCCTAGGATGAGATAGATAGTCCTGCATCTCACCAGATCTGCCTCCCACACCTCCTTCTCCAGCATCATCATAACCATTACCATTTCTTGCATTCTCACTATGTGTGAGGGACATTCTCACTATGTGTTAGGCACCATGCTAAACCTTTTACATATATCATTTGATTTAAATCTCAAAATAATCCTACCAAAGGGGATTATTAAGATCTCTTCCTCTTTGCACCAGATAAATTAACTGGGTTTTAGAAAAGATATAAATTGTACAAGATCAGGGCAAAGATAACAGATGGATAGATAGAAGAGCTAAAGCTGGAATTCCATCCCAGCTCTGCCTCCTTCCAAAATCAGAGCTCTGCCTCTTTAAAGTTGAGGGTCTGGGACATACTGGAAATTTTTCACTGTTTATTCAGAATACATTTCTAAAAAGACATCATTCTTTTCTTTTAAACAATACAGATACACAGGCAAGTCTATTTCATGTTGGGTGCATCTAGGTACTATAGAAGCCTTTAATCTAATGAAATAGAAAGCCATTTAGAAATCCAGAGGTATTGCTTGGTGAAATTTTTCCTAAACCATATTAAGCTCATTTTTACTGTAAAAATTAAAGAATTAAGATGAATACAGACACAACCTTCTACTTGCCTCTGGAAGAACCAGAGCTAGGGGGGACAGATACACTTACCAGGCACTCGGTTAACAGCAAGATTTCGGAAATGGCTCCCCTTGATCATTTCCACAGATAATCGGCCCGTTGTGGCATTGTAGGACAGCCCCACCAATATCTCTGGCGCCCCTCCATGCGACAATGACTGCGTGGATGAAGCACTATCACTGTGAGAAACCGCAGATGGGCTGAGCGGAGACTCTCTACTCTGGAGGAGAAGAACAACAAAGAATCCATTGGCCTGCGCTGTACTCCTCTTTTAGAGAAAGCCAACACTATGTTTGGTGAAATTGTGACCCTATCTCAATGACTGCCAAAGATTACTAACAGCGCACTCGGTGTGAATTACAATGTGCTCAGAGAGTACAGCCACAGATGAGATCCTCTGCATTATTAGCTGATATATTTGCCCCAAGAGCTGTCTCCATTCAGTGTTTCCTTTCTAAAGACAAAACATACAAAGATGTTATTACTAGCGTAAATCAAGTCTTCCAAGATACACGGGGAGCTAATAATATATTCAGTATAGACCAAAATTCCCTCCTGTATAATTTGTGCTTGAATTTTGTTTCTGTTCTCAGCAGCCTCTTGATGAATGTGGCCATTCAGGAGGCTTTTGGTCTCAAATACAAAAGCAATGGCCACTAGATTTTTGACCAGCACAGTTCCGGTTCTCAATATTGTCAGGTACAGTATATACCGAATTCTATATTTGGCCTCCTAAACAAATGAATTACAATGAAAATGAGCACCTTTGCAACTGTTTGATGAGAAAATGATGCATGGACTATGGATCTCGGCCACCCAACAAGCACTGGATAAGCCCCAGACAGAGCCCAAGTTTTCTGACATGTATGTTCACATGCATGCTTCTCCTGAGTACCACCTTTTTGCACCAGGCACATCAGGAGGAGAACAAGGTAGATCAGGGCACTGATGGTCACAAAAGGCCAGGAACAGGTATGACCCTAGCTAGGAGGTAGGCCAGCCAGTCTCCAAGACATATTGCCTCCTCCCCCAAAAATAAGTGCCCTGGACTTGGCTTAAACCTTCATTCTCACTACCCTAAATCATTTACTAGAATTTCTTACTGGGAACCCAATAAATAAAACCAATAAAAGGAACCAAACATTGTGCACATCTGTAGGGAAACATCTGTTTGACCAAACCATAAGTGTCCCTGTAAAAGCCTCAAGCTTTTAATGGAACACAGTTTGTAAAATGCAGAACTGGGTGATTTTGAAAGGTGCCTTATAGACTCTGTGACCTTGCTTCCTTTAAAGGAGCAAGTATTTTATTGGTGGATTTTACAGACACCACAGAGAACCTTCCATAGGAGCACTGTAAATTCACCACTTGCCTCTCCCATCAAATTTTGAAGCTATATCCATTGTTAAGTCCCCATTGCATAGGGGCTAGGGCGAATGAATCAGTGCACAATGTTTAGCCTAACATATGCAGCTCAAAAAATAGCTGATGAATGAAAGAACTGGTACCTTAAGATTTACTTCACATTGTGTTCATTTTGCCAGTCAGTCTGTGCCCCTAACACAGAGCACAGAGCCTGATACCAAACTATATATGGATATGATCATCCCTATTCCTCTGATTTACAGTATAGGGCCTGTTCTCATCTGCCATGGCTTCTGGTTTCCATGTTTGCAGATATACTTTACTCAGAGTTTAAGAGAAGTAAGGCTGTCAGTACAGGTGAGATACTGGCTGTGTTATGCTTTAACATGACCATATCAAGAGCAGTCTGGAGAGTACAAAGGCAGAAGCAAGGAGGCTACCACAGAAGGCTAACTCAACAATCCAGCAGAAAGCCAAGTTCTGACTGTACTTGAAGATAGTATTTGGAAGATTCCAGGTGTGAGCTGGGCATGTTGGTAAATGCCTATAATTCTGGTACCTTGGGATGCTAGGCAGGAGGATCGCAAGTTTGTGTACAGAATGGGCAGCTTAGTGATTTAGCAAGACCTTGTCTCAAAATAAAAAATAAAATCAAGCTAGGGTTATGGCTCAGTGTGAAGGCCCTGGGTTCATTTCCCAATACTGCAAAAATAAAATCTGGTGGGGGTGGGGTTCAGGTGGAAGGAAGAGAAGACATAGATGACCTCTGAGATTTTAGCTCTAGCAACCAAAAGAATATCATTTCCTCTAGGCAAGACAGGGAAGACAGAAGGAACTGATTTAGGGAGGCAGAACTCAGGATTTCAAGTCTGAAGATGCAGAGATGCTATGAGAAATTGAATATACAGATCTCTCACCCCTGTACTCCAGCCATCCTCTGTTCTTCAAAGATGGCAAGCTCCTCCTCTCCTTCCAATGCCTTTCTGCACCATTCCCTTGGCCTGCACTCCTTAGCCTCCACATATCATGTCTCTTTTACCCTCAGTTGCTTGAGCTCTGTTATATCATCATCATGTCAAAGGAACTTCCCCTAAAGCTGCTAAACAAACAGCAGCCTCTGTCATTCTCTCCTCTCACTTACCTTGGTTCACTTACTGATACCTTCCTCCTCAACTATACCGTAAGCACCTCAAGGGCAGAGCATCACCTGTTTAGTTCATATCTGCACAGGCTTTTCCTCAACAGTACCTGACAGTAAACATCTTTGAATGAATGACTGATTGGCCCCAATGGCCCATAGCTCTCCTGGTATCTTTCCACGGTATTGCAACAGGGGATTTTAATACAAGCTGACGTGTAACCCATGACATGAGGAGGCTGCCTATTTTGGATAGATATAAGCTCTGGAGTCTTTTCTTAAAACTCTGTAGCAGGAAAAGAATGTGACCCATGGGAGAAGCCCAGTCCTATAAATGCAGCCCTCAGAATAGCTGGAGTTCAGGGCTGCTGCTGTAAACTGCTCCCTTATTCTTGTTAAGAATCTTCCCTCTAAAGTCCCATCGCTGAGACTCACCATAATGCATACTGGGAGTGGGAGGGGTAGACCACTAATCCACCTGTGAGAGAGCCATCTGCCTCTCTAGGTCATCCCATGCCCTTTACCATACTACTGCTGTAATTTCCTAAAATGGAAACGGAACACATCCATCAGGTTATCAGGAAGACAGGCTTGAAAGCCCCATCGTACTATGAAGAGCAGATCGTGGCTTGTAAGGATGTGGAGAGCCAATTGGAAAATTAAACTAAGGTCTCTGAATTCACAAGACGAATGTACTAAATCGAGGACTGACAACTGCAGGTCTTCAAACACCACATCATTAGCAGCACCCTTTAGCATACTCACACTTATGTTACTCCTTGGCTCCAGGACCAGAGTCACTTTCATTTCCCCTTCTGGGCGCAGGTGGCTGAGATAGAAGAGCTTCTCTCCCAACATTCTCTCTCGGGTCATCTTCCGGGCAGCGTACAAGCGAAAACGAACAGCACAGGCAGCCACGTCTCTGTGCTCCAGCTTGGCAAAAGTTACCTTATCCTTGAAGACAGGGTTGGGCCCTCTTTGTATGCTCGTCCTGCCCCTCTGTTTCTTACTAGGCAGCAGCACCACGTGAACCTGCCAGTTGTTGACCCCACTTCGAGCCTTATCGGGGAGGCCCTGTGCTCTCACAATGGTCACTGTGAGCTTCTGGGTTGCAGCTTTATATTCAAAGACGACATCTAGGTCACCGCACTTCGAGATCGGCTCCAAGGCCCTGGAGGGCACCTGCAAATTGGTCCCATCCTGTTCCTGTTGCAGGAAAAGAAAGAGATTAGGGATGGAAATGATAATGCCTAATTACGTTTTGGCAAGTTGATGCCCCTTGGTGCCCCTTCTGAGTCCGGTGTTTTCTGGCTGCCAGCGCGTGACCTTCTGTGGTTAGGAAGGCATGTTTACTGATCGCTCTCCATTAAACTGTGAATTCTTGGAGGGCACGGTGTCTGACATACGGTAAGCCTTCACAAATGTTTTTGGAATGAATAAATAAAGCTTTTATATTTTGAGAAATGTTTTCATATCTGCTGGCACTCTGAAAGCACAATTGCCCACTATCATTGAAACCAACTGAGACATTAAATCTAAAGTGAAGTCAACCGTGCAATTGCCAACAGGCGACTTTTCTTTGAGTCCCCAGGAGAAATGGTTCAGCCTGGGCCTGTTCTCTGCAAGCCAGAACCTCCCACAGACAAAAATCCTAAGGGGGTCCTTGGCAGGTGATCCTTTAGTATATTTTCACTGCATGGGGGAGAAAATGTTTAGAGCCAGCATCTTAAACTTTCCTGTGGGCCTGAATCATCCCAGGCTTCTGATTCTGCAGGTCTGGCATGGACCTAAGATTTCTAAAATGTTACAAGGAATACTAGACTCAGATCACACTTTGAATAACAAGGTTAAGCAGCCATTTGGCAACGTGTAACACTGGCCCTGGAACCAGAATTCCTGGATTGAGTTCATAATTCTACTGCTCATAAGCTTTTTTTGCCCTGGCGAAGTAGCCCACCCTCTGCACATTATAGCTAAAAACTGCATTTTTAATATGCATACTTGATAGACAATTATTGTGAAGTTTAATAGACATGAAAATACCTGCTTCCAACTAGACTGCGTAACTATCTGTTCCCTTTCCTGGACTGGTGATTCCTGTCTTCAGATATGCTTCTTTTTATGGACTACCACCCTGGGACAGCAATTCACTGTAGTGGCCCAGATCTGAGGCTCCCCCTGGGAAAATAGAGCTGAAGTACATTCATTCTAATGAACCACTCACCAAAAAATTATAAATGATGTTGACATAATTTTAATTTTCCTCTGAAGGCATGAATCTTGCCTGTAACTAACCTTTGGAATAATTCTTATTGTAAGCCAGTTCTTATTTATGCAACTGCACATCAGGCTTTACTAATTTACAGAACTCTTCACTGAAAAATGATAATAGAATACTTTGAAATGAGCATTCATTGATGAAGTGTTCCCACAGAGATCAAGGGAAAGTACATGGTTCTCTGGAATCAGACACCCTGAGGAAGGCCAGGTCTTCCCATTTACTACTTTCTGTTCCATTTGGCAAACGATTTAATCTTTTCCACCTTGTTTTCCTCAACTGAACAGAGATGTTGTGAAAAGTATATGGCTTGATATAGAGTAGACTGCTAACAAATGCCCTTTTCATTTAACATTCAAATTAACCTGCCAAGAAAATTCATATTTCTTTTAAAATAAGGGAAATTTCTTATATTTTTTCATCTGAGCATGCCATCATATATGAGTGTTTCTATTCAGAGGTTCTTGGTTACACTGATAAAAGTGGTTGCTATAGAGACTTCTGAATACAACTGACTAGTGTATATATAATATTAGAAGCAGTCTCCAAGGAGTTAGGTCAACTCAAAAATCTTCTCTAAAACTCCCTCGTCTCTTTTTAAAACCTTCGTCTATGTTAGCCTACTCTAAGCATCTCTATTTTGTTCACCTAGATGAAAGCAGTAACAGTTAACATCTGCTGAGCTATTCCTTATGCCAGGTACCATACCAGGTCCTTTATAGACTATAAAAGCGAACTCTTAAACACTTCAGATCCCCTTGTCCTCATCACTTGGTGCATCTTTCCCTACAGCCATAGCCTGTCCAGACTCTAAGTGGCTTTAGGCTAGCACAGCCTAATTAAAACTTATTTCTTATTCATCAAATATAATTCTCACCCATCACCAATGGCCTGTGATTCCAAGGCTAAGAAAGCTATAGAACACTGTTTGCAGCACGCACATAAACTTCAGTGTGCCAGGTTAACTTTCCTTCCCTTGGTCAGGCATCTTGAACTTAGTTTATATAGCTTCTTGGACTGTGGTCCCACAAGAAAGAGAAATCACTCATACTCGGTAGTGGCCAACTCAGTGGCACAGGCCCACACTGGATCCTCCTTCTTCCTGCCTCGCTGCCTCACCTTCACTCTTGTTCCCTGGCATGACACTGCCAACACTGTGGGTAGCCAAAGCCTTTGTCTTGGGTTCTGCTGTACTTCACAACCCAACTAAGAAACACTATCTTTTAAAATGTTTACATTATCTTAATGGAGTAGGTATTTAAATACCCTCATGGATATTTAATATTTTCATGGAGGAGCAAACTAAAGCTTAGAAAGGATGAACAACTAACTCTATTCTCCCTACCCCCACTATAGCCATAGGCCAGGCGGGGTTACCCGGAACTCACACCCTGGCAGTCTGAGTCCAGAGCCTGCCTTAATAGTATTCTCATGGTTCCAAACTTTGCATTGAACCATAAGGTCTTCAGTTTTCTCCCCCAAACCCTTTGCCATAGGTATCCATATGTATATTGGATGTGTGACATGAAAAGAAATTGGAAAATGGAGGTTGGAAAAAACTCCTGTGAATTTTATATCCTTTAGAGCAGTTAATACTAGTTAACAATTTCTAGTTTGCCATCAACTTCAATGCCAAGGCGAAAATATTCTAGAAGGACCTCTCTCTCCATTTATCACTGCAGGTTTCTGGGGAGTCGAGGGGCAGGCTCTTCAAAGACTTTCCTAAGGAGACAGAGGAAGACACGGTACCAGCCAACAGCTGGGTTGGGGAGAGGCCCATCCAAGCTGTGACCCATGAGAACTGGGCTTTGCAGTCCCTTCCTGGGTTGATTTGAGACAGAGATTTGTGAAGGTTGGTATTTTTATAGCAATTAATTATTTCAACACACATTACCTATCACCAGGCAACTGAAGGAGCTCCTCGTGTGGGTACTGTTAATACCACTAATCCATCTGACCTTCCTGCTAGGTAAAAATCTCTTCATTCTTATCCCCATTTGGCAGATTTTAATTAACTTCTCAAGGCCAACCAATTAATCAGTAAAAAGCAGAGATGAAAAGTAGGACACCTGTTTCCCCGTGTGCTCAAAATCTCCAGCCACCCTCCCATAGGCTTCCCTGCCAAGCCCCAGGCCTGCAGGGGAAAGCCAACGGCCTTTGCCAGCAGTGAAGAGCAGCATTCAAAAATCTATCGGCCTAGCAGGTAGTCCCACCGCATGACTGGTTTCCTTCCGAGACAAAATAAATGACTCCTTCAGCTCTAATATCCTGTTTTTTTTCTTTAAGATGGGCATATTTGCGTCAAATTGTCAAAACCCAAACAGGTTTAAAGATTTTCTGTCAAACTGAAAAGGCTTTCTGTTTTAGCAAGATAGTGTTGATGTCATTTGTGCGGTCCAAAGTAAACGGGCCCACAATATGTTCCTGATGCCAGATGCATGAGGGAGGACGGGGTTCTTAACACAGCTAAAAGGCAAATAAATCAATGCTTAAAAGGGAAGCTAAGCCTGCGGAGCAGGCAGTTACAGGAACTGCCTCTGAGCTGGGTTTGAAGTTCTGCTGTAGGAGCACCAAATTACAGTTTTTGTCTCAAAATAGATAGGAGGTTGAATGGAGCACACAGAGATGTCTGTGTATTTTTGGAGTCAGGGAACATTTAGTACCCTCAACGCAAGTCCTCTATTAAAGCTCCAGGAGGCAGGTAAATGGGAGGTTATGCAGAGATAGCAATTCCAGGTCTAATGGCACAATTACCAAGGAGAGAGAGACAGACAGACAGACAGAGAGAGACAGAGAGAGAGAGAGAGAGTGTGTGTGTGTGTGTGTGTGTGTGTGTGTGTGTGTACAGGCAGGTAAATAGTTGTGTGTTGTTTTGGGGTGAAGAAACAAAAGAATATTTTAAAATATTATTGTGTGGGATTTGATATGACTTTTAGCAATAAAATGATGAGGAAGCAAACTTCTTTCCTCCTATTTTCTTTTGAAGAAAGTAATGGGGTTAATGGTTTGGGGTAGTTCCACACGAAAGATTGCTTTCAACAAGCCACAAACCACATATCCAAGTTACCATTTCTGGTCCTTGGCAGGAACACTAATACAGATGCAGTGCACACACCTCTCCCATGCTCCGTCTGCACATGCGTGCATGCATGCACACACACACACACACACACACACACACATACACACACACACACACACACAGCAGCACTTTGTCCCAGGAACTCCATTTCTGCAGTTTTCTTTTGCCATCCCATGACCACCCAGGTCTCAAGAAGAATTTCATCCCGTTTTTTTTCAGGCTGATATAAATCAAATCCATTCACCCTTTGCTTTCTCTGTCTCCACCAAACTTTTGTATGCTCACTAAAATCAATTTCAAGTTAGGAATTATATATACCCCACTGATTAGCACCTTCCAATGTCATGGAATCATTAGAGTTATCTAATTAAAAATAACAATAAATGTCTGTAGATGAATTGATGCTTATAAATTTCTTATTATGGTACAGGAGTATAGTAATTGGTGTGCCAATAAATGGTAGCTACCACCCTCAGCACCTCTAGTCATATCAAAGAAATTTAGAAGTCTCTTTCACCAGAGTTATTCCAAAAAGCTACATCACCAGTTAGAATGTCATTACAGATTCATGCTATCTCCTAGACCTTCCCATAATTAAAAGCTAATGAATATACTAGTAACTCAAGATCCTTATCATAGGCTGGGGATGTAACTCAGTGGTAAAACATTGCCTAGCATGTGCAAGGGCCTGGGTTCAATTCTCAGCATTGAAAAAGCAAAATAAAATGAAACCAAAAAATCATCATAATATTAGGTACAACTTCATTTGGAGAGTCATTTTATTTTAATTCAATTCTCAAATAATTCTCATTTCAAACAATTACAATTCATGATTTTTTGGTAAATAAAATAGACTGCACTCAAATAAAACTATGAAAGAAATAAACGAGTTTCTCCAAAGAAGTAAAAATTCCTTTGTATAAAAATAAGCTGGTAAAGGTCCATTTTGTCATCATTCTTCTTCATTTTTTCTACCATTTTTTTCCATTTTGAAACTTGTTTATGTTTCTTTTCCATTTTGAAACTTTGATATGCACAGGGCTTTGGAGATCTACAAATTTATTCTCAGTACAAAATTTTAGGCCTTTATTTTTCAAGGCAATTTTTCCTTTCTTGGAAAATTTGGTTGGGGGGGAGAGAAAGGGAAAGAGGAGGGATCCAAAAAAAACCAATGAATACACACTTCTCTAAAGCAAAAGAAAAAAGAAAAAGCATAACTCACCTCTGGACTCCATACAGAGGAGCTATCAGTGATATAGGAATCTTCAGATCCACGGGTATTGAAAGCTGCCTCCATCTCCAAGCCCCCCTCTGTGGGCTGATGACTGGGGCTTTGGACCGCACTGGTCTCTTGCTGAGGTGTGACATGGTACCTGGAATCTCCTCTTTCACATGAGGACTGTGAGGGGGTGGAGATAGGGTGATCTTCACAAGACCGAATCTCAGAACAACTCAGTTGGCTGGTTCCATCCAAATCTAAATTTGCAAAAACAAACTATTTCAAGTACACTTTTAATACCTTTGTACCTAGGAAAACTGAGTAATTTTAATCACAATGACTAAGACCTCAAAAACAAAATCCACACCAATAACACCTGCAGAAACATAATTTCACCCTACAGTGGATAAACTCAGTCTATATAATCAAAAAACCATTAACTCCTTATGTGGTTTCTAACTAAGTTTAATACTTCCTAAAAATAGGAGTATAAAATATGGTCATTTATGTTAAAGGGATTAAAAAACACATTAGCCTTTTGTTGGCACTAATAATCGCTTCAGACTTCAGGGATGGATCGGCAAAGCAAAAATAGTGACCTATTGTGAAGCTCACAAGCATCCTAACTCTTACTACTCCTTCCCTTCTCTCTGGAGGTCACTGTACTATTCTCTCCTCAAAAGGCTTCAGCAGATTTCCCAGGTGAAAGGTTTCTATTTGATCCATAGAAAGCACACTGAGATTGGTTAATTGATCTGGGCTTAAATTCTGTCTCTGCTCTAATACCTTCAACAATATTCAAACTCTCTGAACCTTTATTTATTCATGCAAAAAAAAGATAAAGGCCATCAGATAGCCACTGTCAACCCATGATATAATATCTACGTGGCAGCCAATGGGCCTTCCACAGAGATCAGCCTTGTTTACCTGTCTGTCCCAACCTGGTTCCATCAACCTAGCAAACTCCCATGTGTACGGGGATTTCCACTTTCCCAGTCACCTCTGGTCTCACTGGCCCTTGAGAAAGCTACTTCTGTATTTTCTGCCTACAGCAGTGCTCAAACCCTCTTCCTGCCCTTTCCTTCTTCTCTATCCAAAGCCCCAACAACTTCTGGACCATTCCCAACCCCTTTAGGTTCAGAGCTTTTCTCTGGCTTCAGTGTTAGATGCTCTCTGTCTTTCTGTGCCTCTTCCTTCCACTGTTTATCCCATTCCTCTCCCTCAGTGTTGCCTTTGGGTGAAAAAGCAAAATGGAAAGGTCTTGCTAGGCAACAGCCTCCACTCTGCTTTACCCTAGACACCCAAAGAGTTCTTAAAATGTCTTTTCTCTGCCTCCAGCCCCTTCTAGTAGCCCTCATCCTTAGAGATACAGACAGGACTAGTGAGGGGGAGGGAAAAATAGATATCACAAATCCAGCTCTTCTACACACAGTGCATGGTCACAATTGTCTCCCCCATTAATCTTATAACCTCAGCTAGAATATAGGCTCCGTGAAGACACCAGGACACACACATCTACTGCAGACTCTTAGTCTGCTGATAGGTTCTCATTAACCCTGAGCCTGAGCAGGTAAGTAATATCTGAAGGATCCAATTGATCCAACATGGAATGTAGATGACAGTGGTTTATCAGATGGTACATAACACAGTTACAGTAAGAATCCTCACTTAAAAAAATACATTATTATTTTGTGCTAAAATCCTGCTGGGTGAACAAACAGAAGCATTTTCAGGCAGATGCTGACCTTGGGGCACAACATCAGACTCGATTTGGAATTTTATAAAACCATAGCAAGCCATTTGAGAAGTTCCTCTATCTGCCTTGTAATTCTCAGTAATTCAGTTCAGATTTCACAGGATACTACAAAAATTTTACATTCATACTTTCAGTATGAAATACACTTTAAAAGGCAAATACACTCTAAAAGGCCACAGAAAATGACAGAAGGGAAATTCCATGGCAAAACCTACAACATAAAACGGAATTTTCTTCTAAGTGTCTAATTAGCACACCCATCGCTCACATACATGAACAATAAAATGTCCTATTAAACAGTGGGTCATTCATCAGTGTATGTAGCACCCAGCAGGATTTTAGCACAAAACTTAACTTTGCCAAGAAATTACCCCCATAAAATTGTCTCATGACTTTAACTCCTATGGTGATAATACCTAGATCGGTAATAAGGGAATTTTCAACAGCTACATTAAGCCTTGAAATGTTATTCATAGCTGAAAAACAGAAGAACTATATTAATGTAACAAACCATTTTCCACAGCAGACAAGCAAGTAATAAATTAGAAAAACAAATCTGGGCTCAAGGCAGTTGCAAGGAAGTAGAAAAAGGCGAGAGATTTGCATTCCCATGAAGCAGTCTTCCTACACCTATACATTAAACAAGACCATGTCACCTTAAACACAGACACAAAAGTAAGTGCCTGTTATCAGAAAAATGTGCCCAGATTTCATGGAAACTGTAGGTTGTAATTATGCCACATCAATGATATTTCTTTGACCAGAGTATTCCTCAGGGTGTTAGTTCCTATCCCACGTTGGTGGAAGAAAACTTTATTATCGAGTTACTTTCTGTTGTACTCCCAACCCTTCTTCACCATTGCCAGCTATATATAAAGACTTTTCTTTGTCACTTGTGGCCATTGGTCTCATGTGTCATCCTACCTGGGCTGCAGGTGCCAACTATTCTATCGAACAGTAAGTGCTGCTGTGAGGGCACTTTGTAAGTACAATTAAAGTCCATAATCAGCTGACCTTAAGGGAGGAGACCATCCTGTTTAGTCACTTGAAAGACTTCTTCAAGAAGAAGAAATCCCGCCTAAGAACTACAGCTTCAGCTCATGCTGGAGGGTCTGAGCCTACTCTTCCTGATGGCCTGCCTATGTACTCAGAGCTCTGTATTTCTGTTGCCTGCCACATTCCACAATCCCATAAACTAACTCTTTGCAAGAAAACTCTTGAAATATAGATGAACACACATACACACATCTTTTATACTAGTGTTGGTATGCATATGCATGTGTTTCTACTGGTTCTATTATTTTTTGTTGAACCATTATTGATATATTATGCCAAACAAAACTGTACAGGTTCTGATAATCAAGCCATTTTCTTTATGTTACCAGAAGGACAAGATTGACCTTTTATGAAACATTCTAAAAATGAACCGTTCTGAAGTTATAAAATAAAGTAACTGGAAAAAAAAACCCAGTCAGTGAACCATTATTCTGAAGCCCACATTTCCTGGATAAAACCCCCACACTCAGCCTCTGATTCAGATCACTTACAGCAAACCTTCCATGTGTTAGCAGCAATACATGGACAAGCAATGAGAAGTAACACCAAGTGATATACACAGCACAAAAGAGCATTTCCATAGAATATGAGGCTAATAATCTCCCCACTGAACCTAGCATGATCTCACTTAAGATCAAACATAAGACAACCTACCTGTAGATCATTTGTGGCTCAGATTTTACTTAGATTTGTGCCTTTAATTCCACTGTCCAACACTTTCAAATGCATTTTAGAGAGGGAGAACTGCTTATAATTGAACTTGACCTTAGTAAATATGTTTACGGTAGAATAAAATAACTCAATCAATAGACAACCTGTCCCCCCACCAAAAGAAATTCTCTCTAGATGCATCTTTCATTATTCTTTATCACTGAAATAAATCCACAAATATGAAGATAAATAAAAATAAATGACAAAAAATACTTAAGCAATAAAAATTACATTGAAATTTCCATGGCATTTGGTGATCTAAAATTTGGCATGTAGTTATTCCTATGAAAATCCTGCTGATTTTCTTTCAAAATTTTCCTATTATTCCTTTGATACGGAGGACTTTTTCTTCTTTCCAGGAGAGAAAATTTTACCTCTTCTATTACTATTTGGCATAACTTCAGAATTACCAGTTGTAACAAGAAAGAAATTGTTGCTAATTCCAAGAAGAACAGAGATTAGGTGGTTGTCACACTTCTTGGAACATCAGCCACTCATGTAAATCAGAACCCAGACCCTGGCGCTGCTGGGAAATGGAGCCATTAGCTTTAGAATTAAACAAGTGAGTCCCAGGGAATCAATTCCTATTAACTTTCATTAGCTAATATTTGCCTTGTCAGTGGAGAGAAAGGAGTGCTCTGTATAACACCAGGGAAAGAGAAAGACCAACAGAGGGAGTGAGGAGCCGGCAGAGGTCCACAGTCATAGAGAGTGGCTGGGTTACACCACGCTGACCATTACTAGCTTGTGCCAACAATGCAACAACAAAACATGTTATATTGCTTGGTGCCAGTAAGTCAAACCAAAGAGTAAGGATGGCAAATCTTACCCGACCAAAAGAGAAACAAACAAACAAAAACAAACAACGAGGTTCTGCTTGTTAATTCTTTTTTCCCCTTTGTTCTTTCTTGCCTACCCTCTCTTCATCATTAAATACAAATTTCCTCTTTCCATCTTCTTTCCATTTCTGCGCTCACCTTCTTCTCTATTTGTGTTGAAAATAAGGAAGATGAATATTGCCGCCCACCACCCTGGTTTAACTGACGTCATGCCCCAAAAGGAAAGAAGGAAAAGAAGCAAGATCATTGAAACCGAGCCACAACAGCGGATGTGGAACAACTGCTTGAGCATTTATTAAACGCTCTTAGATCCTTCCCTCTTCTGGAGTCTGTAACTACCGAGGGTGGGCATAAAGCTGTCAGAGAGTTGCCTGACCTTTACTTAGGAAAGAACTCAGAAATGCTGTACTGTTCTTTTTGTCTTCTCTTTCCGGTTTACTTTGCCTCGTTTTCTTTTCCTTTCTGGACTTAGATGTACAGTATAGCATTGAAACACTCAAAAACATGCTTACTCTTGACCATCCCTAGTCTAGATAAAGGAAAAACATGATGTAAGGAATACCTTCACAGGCGGATGCTTCGGTGCTGTCTTCCTCATGAGTAGAAAGCAGATGCCTGCATTTTGGGTTCTGCCCCAATCTGCCTGGTTTTCCTTTCTCAGCGGCTCCAGCACGAAAACTCTGGGTCCGGGATACAGAAATTTCAAACTGTTTGATCACATCCTCATCACTGCCAGAAGATGTGGAAAGTTCTTCGTCATCCTCAAAGCTGTTAACTGGGAACAAACAAGATTCATGAGTCCTCCTGTGGCCTCTACGATCCAACGCAGAGACAGACCATCCCAGAAACCAAGAGAGCATCATGAACATTTATTTTGTGTTCAGCAGGTCCCAGCTGCGTAGAAAGGACTTTGAGTGCTTTTGTAACAGACATTAGAGTCCAAAGGGTTGGAACAAGAAAAGAAATCCCATGAAAGAATTTATTATATGTGCTGCAGAAGTAAGCACTCAGGAAATAAATTAGAAAGACAGTTAGGAAAAAACTGGGACAGCCATAGTCCACACCATGAGCCATGGTAGGGAGCCAAGTAGCACTGCTGATTTGTTACGTTGCCTATAAGGACCAGGATATTTACCAGCACATTTTCCTTATCTGCAGTTTTGTGGGAAATATTATTTCATCTCATTTATTAAAACACCTAGAGCCAAGCCCCACTTCAGAGAAGAGATACGTGGCATGACTGGAAAATACAATGAATGCTTACATTTTTTAAAAAAATATTACAGTAAAAGATACATTGACATAAATTCCCCTTGAAATTCTTCTCCTTTCTGTGAACATACTTATCTCATCATTCTTGACACTTTCTGAAATAGTTCTGCAAGTCCTCTTTCATGGCTAGTTATACTGGTGTGGCTGCCTCTGGGCCCTGAATAGGTTCGAAATGTTTACTATTCATGGGCATTTTGACTTTGGAGAAGAATCAGAAGCTGCACTCTGCCAGATCCTGTGAATAAAATAGATGAGGACACACCATCATGGTTCCGTAAGCCTACCTTTCCACTGGGTACCACTGGGCAGTAGCACACACCATATTTGATCGTACCTTGAAAATACACTTATTAAATGAAGACTTCCAGAACCACTTCACAAAGTGCCATGAATGCTGGCAGGTGTCACAAGTGAAGGGGAGTCTCACGAGAGAGGTTAATGGCAATTAACCTCTTTTGCTGTGATAATTTTTAAAAATTAAACATTTACTATAGTTTGTTTGCAACTAAGATTTTCCAAATATTCCTAGCTTTACAGAGAATCATCGTGTATGTGTTTTAACTCATTTACACTACAAACATTTTAAATCTCACCACTAGCAACTCAACCCAAACTTTGAACTGTTTTTAAAATAAATGTTATCAGTTATAGTTGCCATTTACAACATAATGCTATAGAATACATAGAGTCATTAAAATCTTAGTATGGTAAAGCAAATTAATATATTTATCATATTACAGTTTTTGCAAATGTATGTGAGACAAGAGGAACTCAACTTTACACATTTAACAAAAAAATGTAATACTATACAACTTTATGGGCTAGACTTCTTGTATTGTGCATGAGATCTCCAGAATTTTTTGGTTTTTTTTTGGTTTTTTTGTTTTTTTCCGGTACTGGGAATCGAACTCACAACCTTGTGCTTGCCAGGCAGGTGCTATGCCGCTGAGCTAAAGCCCCCAGAATTGTTTATTGTAGATATCTGCTACTTTGAACCCTTTGATGTACATCTCTCTATTCCTCTTATTCCAACCTTGGAAATAATTGTTTTATAGTTTCTGAATAATTGACTTTTTAAGGGATTCCATATGAAAAGTATACAAGAAAGTATACAAGATTATACAAGTTGCTCTTCCTGTGTCTGCTTATTTCACTCAGCACCACGTCTCCCAGGTCTGCTCACATTAAGTCAATGGCAAGGTTGCTTTCATAGGGCTGAGGAAAGCTGAGGAAGACTGTACACACCACATTTGCTTTGGTCACTACCTGTCTATCGAAACAGGTTGTTCATGACTTGGGCATTGTGGATAATGTTGCAACAGACATGAGAATGCAGACATCCTGACCGGAAGGTGATTTTGTTTACTCTGAGCACCTCCTTGGAGAAGGGACTGCAAGCTTAGATGGTAGTTCTATTTTTCATTTCATTAGCTTAGATGGTAGTTCTATTTTTCATTTCATTAGCAATCTCTATACTGTTTTCCCCAATAGCTGCACCAATCTGTATTTCAACCCAGTGTGCTTTGGGGCTCCCTTTTCTTGTTATCATCCATCCTTTTATCTTAGCCATGGTAATGAAACACTGAATTATTCACTCACTTCCCCCGCAACACACCTTCCCCATAGGCACACTAACCTTCTTTCAGATTATCCAGCATGCCAAGATTGTTTCTGCCCTGGAGTTATGTGCCTTTGCTGGTCCTTCTGCCTCCCTGTCTTGGTTACTTTTCTCTCATTGCTGAGACAAAATACCCAACGCCCAAAAATAAGGAAGGAAAGATTTATTTAGCTTACAGTTTGTGGAGGTTTCAGTCCATAATGAGGTAGCTCCAAGGCAGTGGCAGGGCCCAGCAACACTTCAAGGTGGCACAAAACAGCAAAAGCAGCAAAAGCAAAAGGGAGGAGTGGAGGTACGGAGCCTCTTCTACCTGCCTTACACTGTATGCAAACTACCTACCCCAGGGCGGATGTAGCACTCGCACCCATAATCCCAACATTGGACCATGAATCAATCATAAACTCTAGAAGCCCACTCTATGACTGCATGGGGCTTTGGGGAACATCCAGGCACAAACTGTAATGCTCCCCCAGATGTTTGCTTAGTTGGCTGCTTCACATTCACATGTGTGTGACTCCCACTTCAAACAGGCTTTGCTCCTCCTCCCTCTTGACCATCCTCTTCCATAGAACTAACCTTTATTCCTCTGTTCTCTCCTCTAACTTCCATGAAAATAAAGAAATCACCTGTTTTGTTAGCTGATAACTTCCCATTGCATAAAATTGCCTGTTGCACAGTAAGTGCTTAACAAATGCTTATTAAATGTTAAATAAGCTGTTGAATATCCCATGGTGCCCCAAGCCTGAGCACCCAAAAACAGTCCTGCTGATTCCTGTGTCTGGGATCTCTTCTCCATCCAGCCTTTTATCTTGACTGGTCAAGATGGTCTTGTCACTGAAGGCTCAGCTTACATTAATACTTCTGGAACATCCCTCCTTGACCCCTTCAATCAGATTAACTGCTCTTTCCAGGTATCATAAGACAGTGTTCTGTTCTCCCTTGTCAGTGTTACTCTCACACTGAGGGGGCATTGCCTACCTAGCTGCTGACTGTCCCACTGAGCTCAAGAACCAGAGACAGACCATAGAAAGGACTCTCACTCTGTGCCCTCATATTAACTAGCTGCTGTGTCTGATGTCCTCTTTGGCATTTTTTTCTCAAGTTTGGGTCATTTCTGAGGTCTGGATCATTTCCCAGGTCTTTTCTAGCACCAAAATTATCTCACTCCAAAGTTCCCGCCTGACCGGCTTCAACAATCAATCTGTTTCTCAATGATCTTCTCAGTAGAGCATCTGCTACACAAACATGAGAGCACATCTTTTTTATCTCACTCAATTTTATTGGCTGTGTCTAGCAGCTCAGTAGGATCTGAAAATCTAATCATCAGGAGAAACTAGATTTCTCACTAATACTCCAATAAGCCACATAAATACCCTCCTATCAGAAAACCAACCATTGCAATAAATATGCTCCCTTGTGCTGGGCATAGTACTGTGGTGTAGGACGGACCATCGCATATGGAAAAGATACCAAAAAGAGCAAGAATAAAATTAAACTCTCTCTACCAGTAGAGTATATAACCAGCTGAGCAAATGGTTATATAGGAGGTTGTCAGGGGAATATATGCATGGGGGGCTGGTTGGGTTAGACATTGACGGGAGCTCTTCCCAACTCTGAGATTCCACTTACGTGTATTATTAGGCCAGTTTTAAAAATAAAATAATTCATCCATTTCAAATTGGGGAGCAAGTGTGTGGATACTTTCCCATCCATATAATAATTAGAATTAGAACTTGTTTATTAGAATGTGATCCTTGATTTTTCTGGAGTCACATAGTAAAAATTCTCTTCATCTGGTATACTCATCATACAATAATTACAACATTTCTCATATACTCAGCATACATTCCAGGCATCTTCTTGGAACTTCATATATGGTATCCCATTGAATCAACACAGCCAACCTATAAAGTAGGTACTATTAGTATTTCCCCTGTAGAGTTAGGAAGCAGAGGCACAGAATGATTAAATAACTTGGTTTAAGGAAACAAAGCTAGGAAATTAACAAAGCTGGGGCTCAAACACAGAACCTCTATTCTTTACCACTGTGCATATCATCAGATATCATGGCATCAGGAAAGTGAGCCAGATCTAGCTTCCTTTTGAAGTGAGGGGAGAGGGAGCTTTGCCACTTGCCCTGCCATCTACTGGGAGCTGCTTCCTCTGTAATGGATGCAAAGAAGCCTCCGGAAAGAGGAGTCAGTCTGTGCCGGTGCGAATGTATACAGGCCGGCAACAGGCAAACTAGCCTATTGCTCCTCATGGGGTTATTAAAACAACTGTGCATGCTATTCTAACGTCACTCCCCAAGGATGTCAGAGAATTCTCAGTCTAAAAGGCAAATCTGCACTCTCTTTCAAATGCCACTGAGCAGTAACAGTGCCATTAGTACAGCAATAAAAGCAATCCCTTAATATTTATCACCTGCTACTCATTGTTTTAAAACTTGACACGTTCACTTATTTAATCCAACCCATGACCCAAAGAAATAAGTAATATTAATATCCCCATACTAGGGATTAGAAAACAAAGGTGCAGTGAGGCCAATAATTTGGTGCAGTAGCCAGAGTTTCTAAGCAGTGAATCCAGGCTGTCTTTCTCTACCATCAATACTTCCTCCAGAAAAAAGTCTTCTAAAATCCGGGACAAAACTAATACAAACTGTGTTTTATCACCAGGAGAAACAAATCACAGAGACTGTGCTGCAAAGGATTTTCATGAGCATGTATTCCCTAATGGAGAAACCAAAGCCCAAAGAAGCAAAGTGATTCTATCACAGTCCTAGAAGGTCAGGACTTGGCCCAGGTCTCTAAGTCTCTAAGTCTCTAAGTTAATGGTTGGCAGTATAACTTTCCAGTATTTCTCCCCAAGTGTTCTATTTTTTA